CGTGCGCACGAAATACTACTTCGTGGCCACAATTAAACATTTTTTTTGACCATGTCATCAGAGGGGCTCCGTAGAATTCTCTAAAATATATATAAAAAAAGAAATATTAGTCCTTTGATGCTGAGCCTCATGTATAAAACTTGTCTGCACACAAAGAACACACAACACAATGTTTAATGCGAAACTAAGGATGTATAAAAAACTAAAAATAAAATAAAGCAAATAAAGATAAAATTATTAAAAATAAAGACCTAATAAAATAGAAAAACCTTGTGTTAAAGTGTGCCGTGGCCAAGCACTAAAACGTACCCGTTAAAATGACACAGGGCTCTAATATAATTATATACACTAAAAGAGCATCAAACCTGATGTTTCTCATTGAGTTTGAGCTTTTATGATTTGAAAAATTAACTTTATTCATTTTTTTTATCCTTATACAACACTGTTACACATCTAAACAAATGATGCAAACAGCCTCAGTTGGATATAAAGTGTAAATATTCAGAGGGGCACTAAGGAGTGGACAATTAAAAAAGAAAAAACAAAAACGGTCAGAGAATTAACTGGAAACTGACAAAAGTAAAAAAAAAAAAAAAACGATAAAAAAAGATAAAAAATTATACTTTGATTTGTTCATTTTCAGAATTTTTATTTATTACTACTCCTGTCAGTGTCACGTGCTCATCAGGAGGCCAAGCAGTCTTGGAGGTTGGACCCAAACCAGTTAAAAGAAGAACATGTTTCAAAGAGTTTTCAGCTAACAAGTCTTTCATTTTTTCTGATGCAGGACATCAACCAAACCACACCAACAAGAACAATGGCAGACATGCGTCTTATTCAGAGGTGGAACTAAATTGGAAGAAACTATTTTTTTAAAGGATGTGCACCATTTGTTTTAAATGAACAGCTATTAAGAAATACTTTTACCAATAAATACAAAAACAAATATTTAAATTCAACCCAAACCAATAATCAAAACTTATTGTAGAAAACACCATACATGACTTCAAACTCTTCAATCCATGCGTTTCCCTTTTAGGTTAAGCAAAAACAAAATGTTGTAAAGTGAAATCAATTTACCTTTTTAGAAAAAAGAAAACAAGATGTGGCCTACCAAAGAACCACACCCCATATACACCCACTGCACCCAAAACCACAAAATAAACCAAGCTACAAAACTAGATGCTGCGTTTAACTGTTATTTTAGCCAGTATACAGGTAATGATGACTCATTGTTACAGTCAGATTCCATTTATTTCTGCTACCATTGTGACAGTGGTTCTTTGAAACAGGGGAGGCTCAGTGGAGTTCATTAAATCCAAACGTCACAGACTCTAAAATCATTAACAAATGTAAAACAAAGGGTGAAAATAGTTCACCCTGAGAGGTTCCATACTTTCCTATTGTTCACATGTATATCACACTCCTTGAAAATGTGCTTTAAAGTTAAATCGATTCACAATTTGAATCCAGGAAATGATTTCCAATCTAATCTAATGGAAAGCATTTTCATGACAAAGGTCTGCATGTATTTGTGATACACATGCATGTCTCAAAAAATGGTATGTTGGCTCGTCTCAGGATTCCCTTACAAGTACTATGATAATAATTATAATAATACTAAATAATAGCTGTATTGGGAACAGACTCTAAGCAGGCTTTGTGTGCGAGGGCAGACATCTTTGCACTTTTATCTCTTTATTTATCGTCTCATCGTCCTGAATTGTTTTAATCATTCAGTGTGACTCACTACTATTCCCATCGGTGATTCGTTAAATATTACAGTGAGAAGCATTAGGGCTGAAAGAATAAATCCTCATTTATCGATTATTAAAATAATTGTCAACTAAAATGGTATTCTAATCATTAGCTGAAGTAATGGTACACAGACTCTAAAATCTGCCCTTTCCTGAACCTATTTTCAGCAGCAATTCAGACAACACTTGTCAGGTCTACTGTAACACCTAAAATGCTGTAAAACAAGGAAAGAAAGGCACACAGTCAGAATTCTTTTTACTTGCGAGGAGAGTAGGAAGAGACGTGCAGGTACATCTCCACCCCACTCTGCCGGTCTTCAGCTTTGTCCTTGCTATTTATTAAAGTCAGAGGGGGGGTCCCTAGTTACACAAGCTGAGGTTGCGCTAAAGGAATAGGAAACAAGAAATACAATTCAATTTGCAGCCTCAGTGAATAGGTTAATTTGCATTTAAATGTCTTGCAG